TTCATTCAAATAATATTATATTTTATACATCTAATAATATTTTCTAAAAATAATATATACACAATATAAAAAAAAATATTCTAAAGATAATATGTACATGATAATAATTTCTGAAATCACAAATATTTTCATCACCTAAGATGCTTAGATTAACTCACCATGTTAATTATTTAACACCAAACATTTAAATGATTGATATAAATAACCAACAGATTTGGGTAGAAGAAAATTTAAAGACACTATGAACAACTTTTAATTAAATGATTTGGATAAATGAAACAGTTACGCACACCACATAGATATAGTTGATATGGTTTTGCATGTAAAGTTTAAATGATTATTCATATTTTTATATCTTTAATATATAAAATACAAAAATGACAAAATTATTAGCTACTTATTTATTTTATTTTTGGTTATCTATATAATATGCAAAAGAAAGATTTTTAAAAATTTCTTTAACAGATTATTTAAAATATGTATCAAATAATTTATCCGTTTTTACAATCAATATAGCTTTGCACAACTTTTTTGATGAAAACGTAACTTCAATTTGTATTTTGATATCTAAAATTAGTTTAACATTTACTTTAAATTATATATACATATTTAATATCTGTATATAATTATCTATGCAATATACAAAACTAATGAAAATTACTAATTACTAACTGTATTTTTATTTTTAAGTACCAATATAGTATACAAGGATAATATTTAAATCTCATTTTCTGAATAAATTCAAATTTTTTGTCAAAGGAATAAATTCAATTAAAACATGAAATAATATGCCAAATCTTGTTGTCAATACTGAATTTACATATTTATTAAATAAAAATGTTAAATATATTTGTTATCTAAAGTTAATTTTTTTTTACTTTAAATTATATTATATATATTTATATATATCATTATCTATATAATACATCTATACAATAAATTGATTTCTCACTTTTTTCCTCCATCCACATCATCATAGAGGTAAGGGCGTTTTTGGACACATGGCACAAGTAAACTAGTTTTCGACTTCACATGTTTTGGCTTTTAATCATACTAGAAGCTTTTTTCGTGTTACGCGCGGATTATGTATTTTAAATTAATATAAATATCTATAATTTTAATTAGTTTTTTTTGTTTTATTTTATGTCTAATGTATTTTTTTTTATGTCTCATTTTCCCAATATTAACTTAATAAGTTATTTTTGGTTTATTATTTCGTATAAATATATAATATTTTTAATTAGTTTTTTTTTGTTTTATTTCATGTCTAGTGTATTGTTTTTTTTTTCATGTCTCATTTTCCCAATATTAACTTTTTCGTAATTATTTTTGGTTGCTCATTTTGTAAATTTTCTTCAATGATTTTATTGATGTATATGTTTTATAATTTTACATAATTTAGAACTAATAAATCGAAAAATGACTACAACGTTAAAGCAGATTACGATAGTTTAGATTCTTTTTTTCGTTGTGTTGTTTAATTAAGTTTGGTCTTTTACACTCTTGTGTGATTTTAATAATGCTTCATAATGATTTGATTTTTGTTATTTTGTTGTTTTATGAAGCCAAATAACATCCATAGTAGCATCATAGTAATTTTTTTGTTTCAAATACTGAAGCCAGTAATAATTTTCTCATATTTTCATAGTAAATTGCATTTTAAATTTAATCATATTTTCATATGTAAATTATTGCATTAAATTGGGAAGATTTGTGTTTATTTGACCAGTTTAGCTTAATATTTTCATTGTTTTGTGCTTAGTTTATTGGAATAAAACGGGAATTTAATTTTAGAATTTTCTCTACTATTACACAGAGTTTTGTTTATTGTAAATATGTTTTATTATGTGAAACAAAAAATAATAGTACTTATCACTACAAAATAAGTAAGATAGTTAGGTTATTTTCTTTTATATTTTGTGGTTTTATAAATATTTCTTGTGTATATGACTTTCAACATAGTTTAAAATCTTCAAAATTTCTTCATAAATAAGTGCATCGGCACAAAAAATTGTTCGATAATGCATTTCAAAATATTATTATAGATTTATGAATTTTCTTTGTAGTCGATTGTTGAATAACAGTTTTAGAACCGGAACCATTTTAATTTATTTCATGGTGCAATATTAATTTTAAATAGAAAGGATAAAAACATGTAAAGATGTACTATTAAAACATATAAACTAGGAAGCAGTTCCAACATGTAAAGATGTAATATTACATCAGAATAAAACATATAAATCAGGAAGCTCCAATGAGAAAAAACATTCAAGAGTTCCTAAAACTTGAAAATACTTGGTGACTTGACAATTGGAAACAGTTTCAATATGAGGTAAACATCATATCTCAATATGAAATATCTTCATATATAACGCTTCTTAATTGGTAAATTAAATGTTTACACAAGCAAAGATATGCAAACACAGAAGTTCATAACTCAATATTGACCGACCAAAAGGCTACTTTTTAAGGGAAGTGTATTCCATTATACAATAAGATAAACTCACTGCCCTATCCATGGCCTATCTGGTAGAACTATTCCTGTTGGGTTTTCGGTTGGTTGTACTCTCGATAACCTTCTTGTTGTCCCAGTAAAAAGAGAAAAGCACAACAACATTTAGTAATAGAAGCAAAAAAACTGTATGAATTTGAATCTCAGAGTAAAATGATAGCTCACCAATTTCATAGAATATCTCTTTGACATTAGCTGCTGTTTTTACTGAAGTTTCCATGAAGAAAAGACCGTTCTCCTGAGCATATGTTTACACCTCCTACAAGGACGACCATTAGTGTCAAGTATCAAGAAGTAGGCTTACCAGCAATACAATCAGAAACCAAGAATAAAGTTGTGGAAACTGTAGGAGAATATTTAGGGAGTGACACTAAACTTATCCTAAAGTGGTTTGAACGTCCAAGTTAGAGCAGTGAGCCAATATTAACTTAATATCAGGTCAATTCCTACTTCATTGGGGATGCACATGTACTATCTTAGCACCTAACGGATCAAATGTTTAGTCATATGGAAAGTAGAGCGTGTTTTGCAACTAACTGAACTCTAACTAACGCACATCATAAAGGGTCCTACAGAAATTTCAAAAGGGTCAGTCTTGAGAAACACTTTGCTTACCTCTGTGGAAACCTTCCCAGCATCTAATTAATCAAATTTTTTTCCAGCAAGGGCCATGACCATATTAGAATTACCTACTCACACAAAACACACATAAATAGTACAACCAATTGGGAATCATAAACAATCGAAAAAAAATTCTAACCATAACTTATAGATATAACCATAACTTATAGATATAGAGAAATACGTTGTGCCTGAACCAATCTCTTTGCCCTCTCCAATGTGGCTTGAGAAGAAAGTAAAAGAAAATCAAATGTAATTAGAAGAAGGTGCATCCACTGATACATAAAAATTTAAAAACCATAGATGGTGATTAATGAGTAAGGGATTCACAATAAATATGATTGCTGGAAAACATAGACAGTGAAGATGAATGAAAAGTCGGATAGATTATTACGAGAGATAGTTTGGAAGATGGGTTGGATATGGATCATGATTTAATTTCTGGAGAGCAAACAAAAAACCCATATAATCTTAAAGGACAAAGCTGTGTGACATGTTAAAATATAGTCTTTTGATTGGTTTGAATTTCCATACTGAGGTGGCATAGCTAAAATTTGAGGATATGCTGCTTTTATTATTGTTAGATTTCTAGCAACGCATTAACTTCAATTACTAAAACCATCGGGCCAAAATAGTAATGAAGACATAGGCCCATCTCAAATAACCTAATGAACACTTTAGGTTACGTTGGAAAAAATCTGAATAGCATCCCCTCTGCTTCCACCACCTTTACTCGACGGAGTAACTTACAACAATAAATACCTCACAATCAATTACCCCTACTACGTGCTATAAAAATGGAGATACTTCAGCTTCTCCGTGAAGCGTAGATGTTGTATATATATCATCCTCTTTCTTCAGATGAGACTCATTGTTTCTTGATTATCTCTTTCTCACACGATACCTAGCCAAGCTGAAGGTCACGATAATGCCGATTTCCAAGTCTTAATTTTTTTTGTTGTCACCCGTCTGCTTCAATTCTGGGATGCTCCCAATCTGAAGAAAGGAGCCAAGCTTATTGATGTTGTCATGGTGTAGTTGGACACGAATGTACTCTAAAACTGCAGGTATTTGCTTATTATACCTTTTCTGAAGGCTTTTTAAAGTAACTTATTTTACGAAACCCACCTTTTGCTTTCTTAATAGCGACATTGTTTCTACTAGCAGTCAAACTTGATACAAGGAACAATCACAGCACATAGGCTTAACACTTTCAATAATATACTGAGGGAAGGAGGATTATATGAGCTTAGTGTTTTTGATGTTACTAGAAGCAACATCCACTTAAAATTGTGTAACTCACTAGTTTGTATTCGAGTCTCCGAGCATACAATGAACCGTACCGATTCAATTCAATTGAGAAGTTTCGGTTCTGCAAGTATGAACAGATAATGGGTCTAGCTAATAGCAATGTAGATTTTCCTGGTATGTCTTTCAGCTAATCATTCTCTCTATAAAGTATAAACCTACCTGAAAGGAGATATCTATCGGGTGTCTATTCCACTTAATAAAACCAAAGTACCTGTATGATATTTATGGTGAGGTTATGAGTATCAACACCATTTACCACTACAAGAGGCAGTCCATTCAGCGTGTTATTTTGACTATAAATGGTCATGTATTTTACTCCATAGGAACATCTTATATGTATGAAGTTGTTAATGCTTTGGTTCGTTTGATCTTTGTTTGTTTCTGAAATCTGTTATAGTGTGTTTGATAAGGTTGCAAGTCTTCTCCATAATAAGTTAGAAATCTTGGGTGTGGAGTTCATTTTGCTTATAATATGTAACTAATGTATTCAACTTATGTTACCCATATGCTGTGGAGTTCATTTCCAAAACTGAGGTGTCTGATATTGACACCACCTATGGATGGTGCGACATCTCCTGTTCAAAGTGCTTGTGGAAGCTGCAATGCATTAAAGACTTTATTGGGAGGACTTCAACTTTTCAGAGTAAGCCGTCTAACTTCAACTTTACATCCATACAACCAGTTGCTTACAGTTGCACGTATTACGATGGCCACCAGCCTACTCATGGCCAACTCAGACCCACAGCCTTCAAAAAAAATTTGCTTCAGTCAGAACATCTACCAAGACTCCTACTGATGATGAGTACTAACCAAGCTTGAGGGAAACTCGCAAAAGCTAATACTTACAACAATTAGGACTGTGAACCTCAGGAATAATATCGAGTTCCATTATTTATTTTTACTTTTAACTATTCCTACAATAATGCTGTTAACTGGTTATCCTTTATTAGCAGCAATTTGAGTAAATGATCTTTTGGTAGATTTGTACACTACGGTTAAATTCAGTCTTTGTTTTTAAGGCTTTTCTTAAGTTAATTTGAAAATTATTCCATACCAGTCTCCTCATTAGGTTAACCTGTGACACCTGCCTTAACTCTAAGAACTAGATTTGATTAAATTTAAATCGAAACCTGATTTAACTTTAAGAGCTTAAATTACGGTTTTAGCTGGATTTTGACCAGGGAGCTTTTTGTTATCCTTTAGGTATGCGTCTGCTAATTGTTTTAAGTTTTATTTAAAATAAGTTTTTTATTTTTTGAGGTTCCGTTAGTCACCTTCTTCCGACACCTTAAGCTATCAGCCAACAACGGCTGCAAAAAGATCAACTTTTTTTACGCTTTGCTATTGCTTTGCACAGTTAAGTTTATCAAGGGAAAGAGATTTATGGATCGCCATAACTGGCGCACCAACATGGATGAAGTTGTCAAGTGCTGGGAGAAAATTAGGTGGTCTTTACAAGAATATGACCTGGTCCAGGAGCAACAAACAATACGGACACACTGCCTCCAAGACGTTGCCGTACAAATGACCTATTCAGAGTGATGTCCAAAATGCTTTTTAATTACAAACAGATTGAGAAATTCCTCCACCGCGGTACTCCTCTCTCCATGTTCAATTTGCATACTTCTTATTCTGAATGACTCTTGATTTCTTAAGCTTTCATTCAAATTTTTTAAAATTACAATTATAAACTATCCTTATCCACAAGTTGCATGCGTTGCTTTTTCAAGTTTAATTAACTAATGAGCCTTTTCACATAAACCTAATTAATAAAATTTACCACCAATATAAACATATGCAAAATGCTTAAAAACGGTCTAACAAATATGGTATCACACAGCAATTTGCTAAAAGAAAATAAGTTAAAGAATCACAGATTGCTTGACAAACAAGTTATTAATCAAACCACTAGAACATAAGAGACCAAGAAAAAACCCAACAGCATAGTTTTCCACTACAAAAAAGGCCACTCACGATTGGCAAGCCAAATTGTGACACCTTAAAAACTTAAAAACCCTAATACTGCTAACAGGCCTATGAAATACAATCAACCAATAACCGAACTTAAGCTAATAATTAATTACTAACTGTATTTTATTTCTAATTATCAATATAGCATACTAGGATAATTTAAATCTCTTTTTCTGAATAAATTCAAAAACATGAAATAATTTACCAGCTCTTATAGTTAACTAGGTATGAATCGGTGTGTTGTAGGGGTTTCAATTGATGTTTTAATTTCATGAAAAACATAAAAATGATAGAAACAAATTTACAACCGTTGGATTTTTTGAATATATTGCGTGAAACTTATTTTAGGAATAAAAATTATTTTTCCATATAAGTTTTGGTTAGTATTTATGTTTCAGTGTTATTTTTGTTGTCGGCTATGTTTCAGTAATCATAGTGCATAAAAAGTTATTAGCAATTTAAAATTTAGGGGTATAGAAAAAATCCAAACCCAAAAATTTAAACTGAATCTAACCCTGGAAAATATGAATTAGAAGAAAATATAATAAATTAGAAATTTGAATCAAAATAATTGAATCGGTGACAATATATGTACTTTATAAAATTTCTCAACCTTAAAAGAAAATTTAGTGAATAAAATTACATCTATATATTTAGAGACAAAATAGCCTTACTCTATATTTCTATAAAAATAAAAAAATCTATTACAAAATCATACAATTAAGAAAATATACCTTAATAATACAACTTCACTATTTCAAAAGAAAATATAGTAATGAATCTATATGTGAATTGAAAATTATCTTATTTGTTTAACTAAAGGAAAACATTGGATCAATATTTTTATCATCTAACTTATAGGTAATGAAACTATTAATACATTGTGCATTTCAATACTACTTTTATTCTTGTAGCCACAAACATGTATGTTATGAAGACCATGTTTTTTAATCTTTATTTTCTAAATAACTATTTATGAATAGAATTTACTAATTAAAATTTTATGGCGACCAAAGCTATAATAAATAATAAATTGTATTAGTGTATGTTGTAGTAGAGCTGAAATCACAATCATTAAGAAGTTATTGTAACTTCATTTCTATATATGAATTTCAATATAAATATATATTGGACTTATTTTTCTTTATAATCTTTTCACTATAGATTCATATTTACAGTAATAACATTTTCAAGAAAAAGAAATATGTATCTAACCTAAATTAACAAATTAGTTACATAATTATAAGTATATATATATAAATATTATTATTAAATAATTAAAAAGAAAAAAGAAAAATAATAAATAAAAATTTATATAAAAATAAAATAATAAATCATTTATATAAAAATAAAAATAAAAAATCATTTGTTATAGTTAAGCTTTTGTACATGTTGTTTTATGTAAGTTTAATGGGTAATTTGACTATTATGCTTATGTGTGTTTGTTCTTATCGGCATATAAAATTAGTTATGTTATTATAGATCATGATACTACAGAATTAAAATAAAAGAGAATGACTTTGAACTGAAATATTGTAGGTCATGCTACTAAAGAATTGAAATCAAAGAGAAAGACTTTACAATGGACAATATTACTAATAATTTGACCTCAACATGATTACTGAAGTAGAAATCCTCACCGGAAGTTATATGAACAAAACAGATTTTTCTTCCTAGCATAAGTCTCATACTAACATATGCAAAATGACCTTTCAACCTGAAATGACGTTATTTTTTTATATGAGTTTGCAATGCAATGACTATCAACAAAAATTAAGGTTAAACCTTAAGGTTGGTCTATATTTGCCAACCTTTTAATTTACATAAAATTAAAATTTTAGATTATTTTTATATTCTTTTGGTTTATGTTGTTTATTTTAATGAAAAACTGTTATTTAATAGATGCCATGATCTTAAATATATAATTATAATGTGTCAGGATCATGCTAATTAGCAACTTTAATAAACTAAGTTGTTAATTACCTTAAACCCATGTTTTAGAAAAGAAATAAAATTGTTAAAATTTTATTTATATGAAAATATTTAAAAATAGAAGTTTCTATATCCAACACTTCCACCTTTTTTATATGTATTCACGTATGGCTATATTCATCTAAAATATTACAATTCTGATATTACGTGCGAACGCACACCAATTAACCTAATGTGCACACCACCACAATCAAATGGTATGTCGATGTAGTACTTTAGAATCGAATCCACAGAGACCAAATATTACACTTTACTTCTATAGGGTCAAATTCAAGCTAAAACGATTAAGTGTTGTGAAAAAAAAATCGTGAGAAACAAATAACAAAATTGGGTTTTAAATTCATGATGTAAGGATGTCAACATAGGGTGTCTCATTGGGTGTTAACCATACTGAACCAAATAATTATTCAAGCTCTTTAAGTGCAGCCTAAAACTTAGATTTCATAACTAGAACACCCTGCTCTCGCAGGCGTGCTCCTTTCTCGGGGGAGCATTGATACCTATGCTCTCGCATGGATCAACACTCGACAGCAAACATTAAGTACATACCTAATATGCTCACATCACACCATGATATCTACTTTCGCTGACCAGGGATGTGATGCTTGCTCTCAACAGATCTAGCAACCTAATTCAAGCTTAATGATAGAAGATTTAACTTGGAATCAAATACTAAGTGATCAAATCAGTATCAGCAGTAAGAACAGTGGAGAGCAAAGGCGAGAATGGGGCTTATCTATGTTCAGTTCAATGGATCAACACCCTAGAACCCTAGGCTAACAAATCGACTACTCGATCATAACACAAGAGAACACACAAGTCATGACTGAATAATGCATTAGATAAATCCAAGTATAAAGAGGGTTCTGGAATTTCTTCTCTAGAAACCAAGAGGAGAAAGCCTTGGCCCTTTACAAAGTTGCCAGAACAAATCTTCAACAAAAAGTCTCAACAAGTTTCTTTTGTAAAAATCTAGTCTATGCTCTCTGTCTGAAAGAGTAGAGGCGGCCAGGGTTCTTTTATTAGAAGAACGACGCCAGCTATGGTAGAGAGGAGTGCTACGTTTTGCTCTTTCCCGAAATAGATCAGAGGTCTCATTAAATAATTGGAGCAAATCGGGGTTTACTCCGCATGGGTGCTCCGCGATGGAAAACTCTGGTTTTTGCATTCTTTCTTCCATATGCTCCTTCTGGTGCATTCCAACTCGTTCTCCACCTGAAATAACTCAAAACATACTAAGAATACTCCATGAAAGCACAAACATGATATACAAAGCATGTGTGTAACATGTCAAAAACACAACATATCAATTCCCCCAGACTTGGATCCTTGTTTGTCCTTAAACAATGTCAAGTTCCAGATCAGTGGGAAATGTTTGAAAGTGTGGGAACTCTCTCATTTCAGCAACCATACTTTAACCACAAATCTATGAACCATATACGCAGACATACTAGGATGACACACTCTTACCAGAACCCCACTGACTGCTGTTCAAATCGGCTCCATACTCTATATCTCACATCTGCAAAAGTCAAACCTTCCAAACAGAAACTCCTTATATTCAGTTAAGATCAGTGTGAGCTTCTTGTCATAGGCATTATTCAGGGTAAAAGGTCTAGGTGTGAGACATGCTTTTTCAGTTTTAAAGTGGACTTAACAAGTGTTTAGAGTTTACCATGTCTTTGTAGAGGATGCATGATATCACACAAAATTGCCAGAGAGGATGGATCCATTGATCTCCACGAACCCTCGCTCGTTTTCTCTACAGAGCAAATCGCTCCTTGTTCCTCTTTTCTTTGACAGGTTGCTCTCTTCCCTGTAATTCACTCCTTCTACACACTGTTTCATTCCCACTTCAGTTCTTTGCTTCTCTAATCGACCAAAGGCAATGTTTCGGTTCTTCTCCTTCTCATCATCTTTAGAACTCTTGTGACATAAATAATACTGAATTTTTTTTTTTTGACTAATGAAATGACGAGTTCTGATGATGATGATGATGATGAGAAGGAGGTAATTACATATATTGTGCCCCTGGTGGTTCTGACTTTAGCACTTCTTTCACCATTTGATCTTTTCTGCTCGGATCACCCTACCGACTGCTCTCTTCTTGTCGGATCATGCACGTCTTTGCTCCGAAGCGTAGTCTGTGAGAAAAACGAGTGAGAGCAGTGTTGATGCTTTCCTCTCCAGCCCTTTTGCACATATCTGCACATATGAAACTTAAAAATAGAATGCATGAGGGTGAAACAAAGGTTTTAAGGTTCAGGGTGGGAACTAGCTAAAAATGAGCTAGCCACTCAGGATCAACAAGATGGATAGAAAGAATTAAGATGTCCTGAGTGTAATCTCGTTTCCCTAATCTAACGCCCATAAGAAGAAGAATTAAGTCAATATTAGGTTTAAGTTAGGTGGAGTTTAAGTCTTTCCAGACTAACCTCTACAAGTAGAAATCTTCTGGAGAGCAATGTGAGGTAAAGTCAGGGGGTGTTCCAGGTCCACGTGAACGTCTTTCATCACTGTTAAGGTCACTGAATAAGATACTTAGAGCACGAGGTGATTAGAAAG